TGGCTGAGACTGTGCTGCATTTTCTCTGTATATTACCTGGGATGTCTGTTGGGATTTTAATATTTCAACACAGAACTATCTTAAAAAAATAATCAGAGAAGCATCAACTCCACAAGCGCTCAAATAAATTTGTTTCTTTTACAATGCTTTATTTTTCAGTAACTAACTTCCTGACTAAAAAGTTTATATGAAAAAATCAAAACTTTAGAGATGACGCACATGGAAATGTAGCTCTGCTGGAGGATGCCGAGAATGCCATCGACCGAAGATGTGTGCAACGATGAAGATTAAAAGAAAGGGGTAACAAAAAGAAAACTTATACTTAACATTTAAAAAGAGATACTTGATACTTCTATGGTCCATAATGAGGAAAGAATCCTTGATAATCAAATGAACGATTAAAGGGAAGAGTGTCAAAGGAAAATAACGCATAACACAGGTAGAGAGCTTGAGTAAATGATTAGCAAAACATTGTTTAGGAGTGGTAGGGATAAGATAAAATTTATTAAGCTCAACAGAGGAGAGAAAATTGTGGAGAGCCATAATCGTTAATGTTCTAAAGGGAGAAAACAAATTGAAGAAGTGAAAGAACGAACTTGCGTTAATGGATGACGGAGCCAGGTTTACGAAAGATACCAAAAAGACAAAATTTATTAAGACCTAAAAAGGAAGGAAATTGTGGAGAGCCATGATTGTCAACTTGCTGAAGGGACACGACAAAATGAAGAAGTCAAGGAACGACAATGCGTAAATGCATGACGGCTCAAAGTTTACGAGAGATAACAAAACGGGCAGAATTATTAAGAGCTGCAAAGCAGAGGAAATTGTGGAGAGCCATGATCGTCAACGTCCTGAAGAGAGATAAGCACATAGAGGAAGAAGAATAAGATTCTGAGTGAGTTTTGAAATAAAAAATTGAAGCAATTTCTGAATCTCCCGTATGAAAAGAAATAACGGATCGAACAAAATGGCTATGTTATTTATTGAAACGGTAAAAAAAATCGCATATATGCATTTAAAGCATCAAAAAGTACTTTTTCTAAAATATCTTGTTCCATGCGTTCTTCTAATGAATATAATATTGAATGGATAAGGAAAAATATGACTCACTATATGATTTTTCTTTAATATATGATTGTAATTTTGCACAATATCTATTTTTTGCTCTTTTGCTCTTTCTCTCTTTTCGATATATATATATATATATATATATATATATATATATATATATATATATGGTGGTTGTATGAAATCAAATACACCATGAACCATTTTTTTTTATGAGAAATATTTGGAAAGAAACATTTTATTTGCGCATTTCTTTATTTTTATCTTGGAAGGCAGTGAAGTAGCATCTTCTAATTGACATGCCATGTGTGTGGTCGCCCATCCTAAGAAAGAAATAAAGCAAGAAAAAACACGGAAACATTTTTCTGAGGATATAAATACAAGATAAATTGATGTGCTAAGTACATGGAGTACTGTTTTAACTTAAACGTCGGGATTTTTTTTTTCTTCAAGGAATTGGTGAGTAGAATTAATCATCATATAACCATGTGACGTCCATTAAATTCTTGACAATTGATGCCGACAATATTTCAGTTTTCTTCGGTGAACATCAACGGGCGAAGCTTGAAATAGTTGTGTTGCACTTCGGAGGTTAAAATTATTTCTTTCCAGCACAACAGTTTACAAATATATCGGAAGGACAATGTCTCCTCTGTATTTCTATACAAACTCTAACATAAGATCTTCTCATATGTACATTGTCCGTTTAGGACGTAGGCAGTCTTGGTTCTCCATAAGATGCAGTCACACTGTGGGTCAAGAGAAATGTTTGTATTTTGATTTGAAGGATGCGACAGACAACTCAACTTGGAAATTAGATCTAGATAACTTGGAACAACGTCAGATACCGTTTGCGTGGACTTGGTTTCCCGACCTGAATATATTTCTAACTAGACACCAAATGCGAGGTTATACTACTTCTTCATGTGCCGTGTCTCCTCAGGTCGTAGGTGATTATGACTCTCCACAATTTCCTGTCCTTAGTAGAACTTAATAAATTTCGTCTTTTTATTATTTCTCTCAAACACTGTTCCACCGCCCATTTAGTCAATCACACTAAACTTTTAATGCATTACTTTCCTCTGTCTCTCTTGTCTGAAATCTTTCCTGTGGGTATCATATTTTCCAAGCCTTTTTTCTTCATCATGTGTCCTAGAAACTTCAACTCTCTCTTAAGTATAGGTTGCATTTTTGTTTCCATTTCCCTCTTAAACTTCGTCCTTACTCCCATGTCATGTCCATGGTATTCTCAGCATTCGTTTGTAGAACCATGTTTCTGTTGCTTCAAGTCTCTTCTTCATCTGGGAGACATACTAAAGATGACTGATGTTATGTCAGATTTCGTTACTCTTTTCATTGTTTAGTGAAATCAATTCGGAAAGAGGATTTCTTCAGCAACAAAAAAAGTCTCAAACCAGCTACACAATTAGCTTACCGACGTCACCTCAATTGACCATACGTTTTTAAAAGAAAACCCCCTCACCATTCCGTCTGTTGACAGCTTTGCAGGCTTTCTGGAAATGCAGATTATAGTTCGATAACGGTGCACACAACCAATGTTTAGTGTCTGTAAAATTTCTAAAATCTTCAATGACTGTCGAGAATGCAATTCTCTAATGCAAATGTACTTTCATGTCAGATACAATTTTATCAGACTACTGATCCTACTGCAACCTGGGAAAGATAAAAAAAAAACTTGTTGGTTAATGGAGGCAAGGTTCAATATATATGACTAATCCATTAAAAGAATAAATTTAGGTGACGTTACTTTCTTAGCGATCCTTCTAGCCAACAAATTAGTTAAATCCATGTATAAAAACTCTCTTTTCTTAAGGCAATTCTTCAGCTTATATCATTTCTATCGTCAGTATTTTTATGTAGTTAAATGAGTAATTTCAAATGAGTGTGGCTTTTCTTCTATTTGAAAGGAAGTTATTGCGTTCTGTCATGTCAATAATGAATATTTCTATATGTCATTCACTGAATCCGTTGATAGATGATAGAGAAATATTTGTCGCGAAAATGTCTATAACTTCTGCTAATGAATACTCATACACAGTTTCTATATGGTCACACACAACAGTAGAGACAGAGAGGGGAGAGAGAGAGGGAGAGAGAGAGTGTGAATGAGAGCGAGAGAAAAAGAAAGAGTGGGGAATGGAGCGAGAGATACAGGGAGAGAGGGGAGAGAGCGAGGGAGAAAAGAAGATAGAGAGGGAGAGAGTGAGCGAGACAGAAAGGGAGAGAGGAGAGAGAGCAAGAAAAGGGTGAGAGAAAAAGAGGGGAGAGAGAGAAGAGAGAGCGCAGAGAGAAATGGATTGAGAGGGGAAAGAGCTAGAGAGAAAAGGAGATAGATAGATAGATAGAGAGAGAGAGAGAGAGAGAGAGAGAGCGGAAATGAGTAAGAGAAAAAGGGAGAGAGAGGGGATATAGAGCGAGAGAGAAATGGAGAGAAAAGAGAGAGAGAGAGTAAGAAGAAAGGGAGAGAGAGGGATGGAGTGAGAGAGAAAGGGTAGTGAGAGATAAAGAAAGAGTGAAATAGGTAGAGAGGGGAGGGCGCGTGAGAGAAACGGATAGAGATAATCCCTAGACGATGCTGAATCACATTAAAAAGTAAAATAATCCGATTAAAATAAAATCATATTTAGATAATAACTACATGACTGGCTACACATTAATTTATTCGTTCATCCCCCCTCTCTCTCTCTCTATATATATATATATATATATAAGGCTATTCATGCCTACCTACTTATCTATCTACAAGGCTATTTATACCTATCTATCTATCTTTCATCTCTATTGATCTATCTCTAACCGTCTGTCCATATATATATATATATATATATATATATATATATATATATATATGTAGCCATCCACAGACAGAATGATTCGGTGTATCACAGCTTATGAGTGGCTAGACGTCCGGTTGCCTCTAGCGAGGATCGAAACCCGACTTTGGCGGTACATGTATCTTTATATATATATATATATATATATATATATATATATATATATATATATATATATATATATATATATATATATATATATATATATATATATATACTTTAGATCGATCGATTTATAAAATTTTTATTTTTCATATAAAAATTGATTTGAGTAGTGAAGTCATTATGTATTCTGCTAACTGTTAAAGAATTCTGGTCAATTATCGTTAACGAAATAATGCTTTAAAATTGTCTTCTTTCATTTATGCCTGTGTAATAAACAAGTTTTTATATGAGTGAACCCAAATAAAAAAAACTGTAGATCAAGACAATAAGTACTTATCGTCAAATACATATGTACTGTTACTATATCACTGCTAATCGATAACCTATATTACTGCAAGTCTCGCTATATACCTTTGAGACCAGAGTTGACCTGAAAGAAACGTGTGATAGCTGCAAGCATAGCATTACCCAGAGTCTCATTCCTTTATATACCATGGAATGGAAAGTCTTATAAGACAAAGTCTTATAAAGATTATTGTGATAATATCAATGCGTTCTAGCAAGGGAATATTTAGATTAAGAAACATGAATAAATATTTAAAGTAGAATAAGCAAAATTTAAAGGAAATATAAATGAAGGTAGGAAAGGAAGTGGACTAGAAAATTAGCCATTTTGAAGACATTTTGTGAGAAAACACAGGACCTTCTCTAAGTTGAAGATACAGAGATACTTCTAAATTTTGTTTATTTTATTCTAATTAAAAAGGGCAGAAAGCTGTGGAGAGTAGTGATCGCCGACTTTCTGAAGATACGCAGCAAATGAAGAACCAACATCGGGCTACCAGAGCAAGTACAAAAAAAAAGATGACATAGAATCCAAATGTACTTAGTGCACCAAAAATACGGACGTTTTGGAGGACCATTACCGACCACGATCTGAATGGACACAACGCATAAAAGAAGAACTAACATAGGGCTGGTGTAAGAAGGAGAAAAATGACTGAGAAAAGGTCAAATGTTACTTGGAGCAGCAAAGGTCAGGACGTTGTAGAGAAACATGACCAACCACGATCTGAATAGACATGACGAAATATAAGAAGAACCAATATAGGGCTGGTATGTAGCGACTGTAAAACGATTAAATCTTGGGATCAATCTATTACTGAGCTTAAATTCCTAGAATCTAGGTACTATAGAGGAAATTTAATCAGAACAATTACAATGAGAGTATTAATATCAGATGCACAGAATATGTTACATTACAGCGTTGGGAATGTGACTCGGTCTGGACCTATGGCATTCCATACTCTTTGGATTATATCAAGAATCTCTAAATTTATAGCAGGATCACAGAAGATGTGACAATGGTTAATGGTAGACTTATAGATATATAAGATAGATTTTGGCGAGGAAAATTGTCTATCACGACATGATGAACCAACATTCTTAACAACAGACTATTGATTCGATATAATCTTTCCACTTCATGTCAACGGAAAACGTTAATCAAAATCGGTTTACTCACCTCAGGGAATCAACAGATCGGAGTTTCGTTTTGGAGGCATTAAAACTAACAAACCATTCCTTGCCCCAGTTAACAACTGAATGTAGGTTATTGTTCAGATCAGCTGCCAATTTGACTTTATCGAGCCGTTCGGAGTTACTATTAAAACAAGAGTGTTCTTATCATAGACAGCGATTTGGGAACTGGTGCCCTCTTGAAGGTTGTTGAGAAAATTTAGGAATAACGTAGGAGCAAGTGTAGAGTCCAGAAAAGGTTCAACGTACAAAACGTTAGGAACTTGATAGTTAATGACGTAGCAATCTAGTTGTGGTGGCTGATACTTTAATGTCCGACATCGACTGACTGACCAAGTCACTGAGGATATTTAGTCACCGCCCACCCACGAGGGCATCATGTGGCACAAGGCCGGTTTAACGTGGGATCTCCAATTCCGTGGGCTCGGCCAAAAATATGCCAATTAAACCCGTATAAATGGGTTCAGGTTCAGTTCACCTCCCCGAAAGAGAATCCACCCTTCTGCGTAGCCTCGTTCGGGTTCCTCCCCGCCCGAAAGCAGAGAGTTCAACCGGTCAGCTGGTCGTCCGACTTCAGACTGAACTGAGACCGACTCACTGAGCGACTTCGCGACTGCTGCTACTATTACTTATTATAGGTGGGAGAGTCTATTAACTATAGAATAGGTGTGTTTCAGTATAACACTGTGTCGTACTGGACATTTATTTACGCGCGAATATATCTTACATATTTATAATTCTACAATTCGTTCTACCTTTGAATATTGTTGTTACATCTGGTCTGGTGCCCCTGCTATATATTTAGATATTCTTGATAAAAACAAACAAACAAGAAACTCCTATTTTATTGAGGCTGGCCTAGCACCTACGCTTCAGGGCTTTTTCCCACTGCCGTAGATCGGTGACACCGTCTCAACATTTTACATTTGAAATCGCTAGATATAGCCGGACGTTCTACGTCAGAAATTACTTCTCGCTTGCGAAACTTTCTTCCGGCTCCTTATTCTCAGTCAACATTGTTCTTCAAACAATTAAATGCAATCCCAATCGTTATCTTTTGTCTTCTTAATATTTCGTCTTTTAGTTTCCCTTCTCCTTAATCATAATTTTTCTTATATTCTCAGTAACTTCTTTCGTCCTTGTAGTTTAACTGCCTTGCTCCTTGTTTGAGTGGAATTATTATTATATATATATATATATATATATATATATATATATATATATATATATATATATATAATAATAATAATAATAATAATTCGACTATATATATATATTATAATAATTGACTATATATATATATAATAATAATTCGACTATATATATATATATATATATATATTATATATATATATATATATATATATATATATATATATGTATATAAATAAAAGAAAGAACAGTAAGATATAAAATCAGTTGTTCTTATAGATATTTTATTTTTACAAAATAGTGCTCAATGTAAATTTACAGAGCATTAATATTATAAATTAATTGATTTAAAATATGGTTATTTTCACACACAGTTCCAACCATGTTTCAAAAATAGAAGCTAAAACCCCTAATTTTATTTTTGCAAACAAATTAAAAGCATTAGTTCCATTTCATCTTCAAGTAATTTTGGAGTAACTTTTAAAATTTACCGGGTTTTAAATACATAGCTAAAATTACGTTTCCATGGTTACAGAATATGTAAAAATTTTGAATGACCCATGTCCTCAGTACTTACATGAAATATTATAATAATAGGTTTATATATAAAAGAAAAGTTTACTGAATCAGTGAAATTAAGTAACCATTTCTGCTGTCATATACAAAAAAAAAAAAAAAAAAAAAAAAATGTAACCTCATATACATACTTTAAACTTAATGTTAAAATAATCCTACATAATATAATGGATTCTAATACATTTAACTGTTCTTAAAAAGAATATAGTAAAATAAAAATTAAAAAGAAAATATTTCAAATCGTAGTTAAATAAAAAGATTTTATTGTAAAAAAAAAAAAAATCTTTAATTTTAAAAGATGACGTTGAAAATTTTTTACCGTTAACAATTTTTTTTTTTTTTTTAAATTCAGACGACATCCATTCAACCGACGTCAGGTTTCAGTGTAAAATACATCCTCACCCCTTACCAAAATGTAAGCTAATAACTGATACAATGATACTGTCATAAGGAAAATCTAGACACCCCGTGTTCAATTTGAGTAGAATATTCTGTAACCATGGAAACGTGATTTTAGCTATGTATTTAAAACCCGGTAAATTTTAAAAGTTACTCCAAAATTCGCTTGAAGATGAAATGGAACTAATGCTTTTAATTTATTTGCAAAATAAAATTAGGGTTTTAGCTTCTATTTTTGAAACATGGTTGGAACTGTGTAGCGAAAATAACCATATTTTAAATCAATTAATTTATAATATATATATATATATATATATATATATATATATATATATATATATATACATACACACACACACACATACACACACAAGATATATATATATATATATATATATATATATATATATATATATATATATATATATATATATATATATATATATATAAATAAGTGATAGAAACTTTTTGGGATTAGAATAATCATTTGTAGTAATTCACCGAGTATAGAAGAATCCTCATCAGAAGGCACTGGACGGCCGTTTTCGTCCCTATTTGTGCGAATCCACTACTGAGATTCGAACCCGGACCATTATGATACAACGCAAACGCACTAGACCAACGGGCCTCAGTGATAATCTCTCTCTCTCTCTCTCTCTCTCTCTATATATATATATATATATATATATATATATATGAATATATATATATATATATATTGGTTTAATGTCTCCAATTTAAATATAATATATATATATATATATATATATATATATATATATATATGTGTGTGTGCGTGTTTGTGTGTGTTCTGTGGGTGTTAAGTTCTTCAATCCCTTCTTCGTCAATGCGTCTCCCAGAAATAAAACTCTATCTTTTGTAATTGTGTTTAAAATTATTCTTTTTGCTCGCTTAAAACCGAAATCTCTCGAAGAAAGCCTGAATGAAGTTATCACTGTTTTGTTGCTTCGTTTTCACCAGGAACGAATTATCTATAAGCAACGGAAGTAGATTTCTGATTACATAATGTTTGTTTTGTTATTTTTGCACAAACATCCGCTGCCATAGGATACACTCCGTAGACATTTTAACCCTTCCTGTGGTCGTAAGATTCTTCTGAGTCTGAATTTCCTGGACATATGACAAACGCATTGTTTTTTTCGGAAGAAAAAAAATCAATCCTATCCAATCTCAGTGCGAGTCTGGCAAACGTGATAGTCATAAAATCCTCACAATATTTTGCAAATATTTATGCTTATGCACAATTCGCTTAGGGAAGATCGGTGGAATCCGAGAAAACTGTCTCCAAGACTGTCAGTTCTTCGTTCGATCAAAAGTAACAGGAAGACTTGTCTCAGAGCGAAACATACCAAATCAATACAGAAAATATCGAATTTATTTTATATCAGTAACTGTTTAGATAAATCAAACCATGCATAAATATATTTATTCATACATTACGGCATTGATGTGTTTTTATGGCTTGTCAATCCCTTGTGAGTTCTTTAAAGCCGAAACTTTTTGAATTGTAAGAATTATCCGTTGATTTACAAGGGAATATTGCATTAACAATTTTTAGAACAACAATATTTTTTCCAGATACACGTGCTACTATTTAATCCATAGCTTGGGGAAAGAGATGGATTCAGACTTTTCCCAAGGGTATTTCCACATAAGTGAATGCAAAGAAAGCGACTGTAATTCAAACTCAGCTGTTCGATTTCTCATTCCGAGCCACTGTCCATCACACCAGCCACACATCCATAATAACAATGAAAGATCATTGGACAATATTTTAAAATAAATATATAATTATCTTATATTTTAAATCCGTGTCTTATATATATATATATATATATATATATATATATATATATATATATATATATATATATAGATAATGAAGCCACGTATACTTTCTTAATATGTATATATAGAAAAAATGTTGCAAATTAAAAAAATAATAATACTTTTTTTTGAAAATTTATTTATATATATATTTGATATTTCAGATTGACCTTAGATCTTTCTTCAGAAATAACTGTTTGTTACAAATAAATTAAAATTACTGTTTGTTTACAAGTAGCGTCCGTCGTGACGTCCGCGTCTTGCGACGGACGCTACTTGTAAACAAACAGTAATTTTAATTTATTTGTAACAAACAGTTATTTCTGAAGAAAGATTGAAGTCAATCTGAAATATCAAATATATATATAAAATAAATAAATACGTTCATAAAAGAAACATCATTATTTTTTAATTTGCAATTTTTTGCGTATATATATATATATATATATATATATATA